TAGAACTATAAGTTTCAGTATAAAAATTACCAAGAACTTGACTTTGGTACCTCTAAAAATTGTTCCAGTCAATTGTCATTGAATTCATTTCAGAATGGTACAGAACATTGAAACTGGGGACAAAATAGATATCAAATATTTTTATAGTTTCAGACTCATCAATGTAGTTTGGAATATGATGCTGAAGAGAAACTCCTTCCTTAAGGAACACGACCTGCAGATGAGGAAGCATCTTAGGAGGAAACGGGCATTTGAACAGATATTATAGAATGATAATAAATAATAATAATGTTTATTCAAAATTTTGACAATATAAATTAAAAAGTTATACATATTGGTATTGAATATTCCTATGGTTTAATTTGTGGCAATTATAGACACATCTTCTCATATTTAGTGAAGTTAGTGGCTTCAATAAGATGATTTTATAAAAAATAATAATTGTTCAGCAAAACATATATTTAACCTAAATACTTACCTTTGGTACAATATATAATGTTTTCAAACTTACCTGTCAATAAATCTGTACAACAATAAACAGGGTATCAGAGGAGAACAAATTAGTAGAATAAAAATTGCAATAATTCTTCATAATTATATTCAATTTATTAAAAAAATATAATTGTATTGTCATTCCTACATATAAAAGTTATTTTCCAATAAAAAAAATTCTAAATATCCCAGCATCTTGATATTTTGAGTTTGGAGCAGAATATCCATAAAACATTGATGAAATAAACAGATTGAGTCTAACCTTATTGCTTCTATATATTCATTTCAGATGGGAAATTTTCCATTCTGTTCTCAAACATCATCATCCTTCTGGTACATTTCTTCTAAACATTACTCACATAATAATTCCTCATGCGATTCTTCCACATCAATCTGTTTGTATCACTCATAGTTTTTCGTTTTTCAACTGAAAAGCTATTCATGTAGGTACTCTTCGCTGTAGGTAGGTACCTGAAATTTTCAAGTATAGTGAATCCGATGTGTACATAGTTTACATAACTAAAGACATGTTTTCACTGCAAATAACGGAATTTCATGAATTATATAGTAACTTATCAAAAATATAGAAGGAAATAAGCAGCCCCTACCTTTCTGCTTGGCTTGCATGTCGAAAAAGTGTGAAAGCACTGATGAGTTTCCGAAGTTTCCACAGTTCCAACTTAAATTCAAGTTGCATCATAAGTCAACCTAATACAGCATTGCCTAAACATATCCCTGCTTCCATTCAAGTATAGGTAGATGGTTTTCATACTTGATAATATCTTTCATGATAATGTTTCATTTTTGGGTTGCAACATGACAGATTTTTATTTACAAACTTGACAGGACCATGAAAAATGTTTGGGTTAGGAATAAAAAAGGAATAACTTAGTTTACTTGGTTCACATTGATGTCTCTGTACTACTGAACGCCTTCATTTATTTTTTCAAAGAACAGACAATATTATGCTCTCGCCTACTAACTACCTAACTAGGTTTCCATTTAGATCGACAATGGCATAACTCAGTAGCAGGTACCAACTGACTGATTGAATGGGTAGCATTAGTTAGTCAATCTCCGAGTGGCACCGTTAAGGGGTATTGAGGTGCAATTTTCAGAAGAAACTTACGGGTGGCGATAGTAATACGAAATATTATCCGAAAATATGAAAGGGGATGCAATTTTGTAGGGAAACTAGTAAAGAAACAACGTTTTCGAGAAATACCGAATAACTAAATTCAACTTAGAAATTTTATGTAGGTGTCGAATAATCGACTGTTCAGGTTAGTCTATAGCTTCAATAGATTTGAGTCTGTAAGTGTAGCACTATGCCATTTGAATTCTATAAATATTTGCAACGCCCTGTATCTCGAAAGCCAGGCCTTTCGCGACTTCTGTTTAGGAGAACTTTTTTATTCTCTCGAGAAATGAAACATCACCCTGGATACTATGGAATGATATCTCACACCAATGCATAATCAGAATTCATATGTAATAAGTATCCATATCGATTTTATGATCTTGCGTATGAGTGCTCCAATTTTATCCTCAGAAACAACAAACTTTCAATGAGACTAAGTATTCATTTCTCTAAATTTCTAGGATTTTCTCTCTTCGTTTCTTTGAATGAATATATCAGCATTATTTCACTATGATGATTATTTTAATATGATATACACACTCTAATTTGGGACTCCATAGAATTCAATACCACAGAATATTTCAATATATTTTCAGTAAGAAATAATTAGATGATCTGTACAAAAAGGTCACTGCATTTTAAACTCCACTATCAGAAACCTGAAAGTGAAATTCAATAGATATTAAGTGACACCTTGATTGTTTCGATAAGGAATAATGTAAGTTGTTTTTTTTATCGCTTGGAGCGCACGAAAGGGAATCCCTATAATGTTCAAAGAACATCGTGCATTCCTAGGGAGGATAGGTACAGGAGGTAGGTATTGGAATTGTTTTTGAACTTCTGGAGATTATATGTTGTTGGGAATACTTCCTCAGGCAATGCATTCCAGAGCCTAGCCGTTCTATGGATGAAAGAGTTTTGATAAAGTGCTGTTCGACATCTTTCAAGGTTAACAACGAAAGGATGTGCTGACTGGGCTTGTCTAGTTCGTCTGACTGGTATTGCTAGTGAAGGGATGATTCGTAAAATGTATGGATTCAACTTGTCTCTAGACGTTTCGGAAGGGAATCTGCTGAGAAAATGTTCAACTGATTTTGATTTATTTAATATTACACTTCATATTATTCTCATTCTCTTTCTTCCTTTCTTCCACCGAACCACTAAAAAGGGTCAATAGTTCTTCATTTCTCAGCTTCGTTTGAGTAAGAGTTTATCTCATTCTATTTTCTGTCTAAAACACAGTTGTCACGTATTGTTGTTCATAGTTTGTTCTAACCATGCTTTTATTAGCTTGTTATGCATTTTTGTATGTATGTTTGTTGGTTCGTATGTAACGGAATCTTCGAACTTGATTTAGACCCACTTGAAAATATGGAATTGAATTGGAAGAACCGAAGACAATATCATAATTCAATAGAATAAATTGGTGAATGCTGTTCCGCCTCCAAACGCGAATGCCGAACACCAGCTGGCAAGGAAAGACACTCCAAAACAAGATACAATTGAAGGTGAAATGAGAGTATCTGGTTGCCCTACTGGCGTATTTTCAACTATAGGAAAAAGCCAAATACTCAAAGTGGAATGCAATGGTCACAAAGAGGGAAACTCAAAGTCATTAACACAATGGTTCATAAAATAAATGAACATGGTAGATAACGAGAGAAAAACAACTACTTTCCTGGCTATATGCCACGAAGAACATTGGATTACACATCCTCCCGAAATCTATGCAATAATTCGTATAGACGATAGACGAATTAAATCGCAAATGTTTCCTTCCTAACCCAACCGATCTGCAGATAGTCATTATCATTCTTCTGAAGTCATCAAATATCTGTCAGTCTCATTCTATGATTTGATTTTTAAAAATGTAGTAACTGCCGTCTGTCTGGCTTGGTGATGTACTTTTGCAGCTGAAATCTCCGTTCGAGGCCTTTCCGCTGCAGATTGCTGAAAACCGCTCTCGACGAGGATCCTGAACTATAGAATTATCTACTACTTTCTTCTACTTTTCCCCCTTCTTTCCCTATGAACGTTTACCCGTTCTGTTTTTTTTTCTCTACCAATATAGCCATAACACTATGTGGAGAGATCATCTTCAGAAAGAAGCATTTTTGCTATTCTCGACCTTAGATTTTCTTTTTGAGATTCACATGGGAATCCTGCCTAAAATCGTCCGACCACCATAGTATATTTATTTCTGTTGATCAGATAATATGCATTCGGCACTATCCTGTAGTGATCCGAAGATATCTACATTGAGTAGATAGATACTGTTTTTTGCCATCAGAGTGGGCTCGCACACAGTTTTTTCAATAACTTGGTTTGATTACACAACAAAAATTCATAGTATCTGTAGAAAACTTCACTTACGTAGGATTTTTATTTGATAATAACACGACATATTATTATGCTTCGCTAAAACACAATATAGGTTCATCTTGAAGAATTGTGTGGAAATGTTATCGTTTGTTGAGGTTTTCAATTCGAACACATTTGGTTGCTCAACAGCCACAGAATGTCACATTTCTCATTCATTGCGATTCATACAAGATTTTGGGATCAATGTAGATTACAGTAATTCATAGAAGATCAGTGAGGTTGATATCGATGGTCAAAACAAATGATACTTTGCAATCATGTATTTATTCAACATCAAATATTGACGGTCAATCATCTGTTCATGTAGAAATAGTTTGTCTAGTAGGTACATGAAAGGGCAATGTTCACGACTGCAAAATCATCACTGCCGTTTTTCAAAGACATCAGAACTCAATGAAGGGAACCAAATAACAAAAATATCTGTTTTTGGGTGCATGATAAATTGACATTCATCATACAGGGCGTGGAAAGAAATTCTGAATTGAGACTCTAACACGATGCGATTAGAGGTCTATAAAAATCACTCAAGTTTCCATCGTTCAAGTTTGAACCCCCTGATTGGGTATGAAAGTGTTGAAAAGGAATATTCTCAGATAAATTATATGGACATACAAAAATGGATATATATTTATATAAAGCAATTTTTTTTTCTTTTTTTTTTTTCACGACTCTTATTGTGTGTTCAATAGATATAATTCAATGTTCGTCGTGGCATATAGCCAGGAAAGTAGTTGTTTTCTATTGAATAAACTGAAAAAGAGTAGATATTCTAATTACGTAGAGAATGCGAATTCTCAATGTATTGCTTTATATAAATATATAGGTATCCATTTTTGTATGTCCATAATTCATCTGAGAATATTCCTTTTCAACAAAAATATCTGTAATTCACTCAATATCCTACTTGAAAGGAAGGGTCTATGAGACAATTTGAGAATATTATCTACATACCAATGTGTCAATTCTGAGTGTTGAATTGTTGAAATCTCACCTATATTTTTGTGAAAAATAAATTGGTCGAGTTCTGTTCGTAATGTTCATAATTTAATATTCCAAACTCCACACTTCATTTCATCATACCAATCAGTCATTTTCATCTGTAATAGTATCTACATCGATTTCCTGATCCTGAGTCGAATCAGCCGCTGTGGCCTCACCATTCTGGCCCCCCTCCCTCGAGTGCCTCCATTTCATCCTCCTGTTCTGGAACCAGACCTTCACTTGGGCATCAGTTAGCCCCAGCGTCGCAGCCAGCTGCCGTCTGTCTGGCTTGGTGATGTACTTTTGCAGCTGGAACCTCCGTTCGAGGCCTTTCCGCTGCAGATTGCTGAAAACCGCCCTCGACCAGGATCGCTTCCGTTTTGACTGGCTGGAGCTGTTGACCGGAAGTGGAGGGGAACTGGCATGAGGAGAGTGGAGATCTGGTAGCCGGAGACCTTCAAGAAATATACATGGAGATTAGTGTTAGTTTCCAGGTAAGTTTTTAAAGAGACTCGTATTTTATCAGAATGATTGTGAGAACGTCTTCTCAGATATCAATGAGATAATCACAGTTAATTCATATTATTATTTTCATCTCTTGAAGCGCACGAAAAGAAATCCCTGTAATAATTATGTTTGAAGAACATCGTACGTACCTAGGGGAAAGAAAAAGAGGTATTGGAATTTTTGTTTCGATTTCGGAGATTATAATAATAAACGGCTCAATTCATAGGAATGAAAAGGCGTGGTGTCACTTTACAGTGTTTTTCAACTTTGCCTTAAGAATAAGTGGATATAAAAAAAGGTAATATTGATAACTATAATGTGTACAGTATAATATGAGCATTAAAATAATTTCTTTTCAATTATTGCCATCACATTTGAACATATTGTCTCAAAGCTAAATCATAGATGATATTCATCAACAACAATATAATTTATGTATAGGTGTATACACACTATACACACACCTATACATAAACTATTCAATAAAAGAGAGAACCCTGACTCAATTACCATAAACAAATGCTGTGGGCGTCACTGAAGAAACATGGCTTCAAGAAGGGAAATTTTGAGTATTTTTTTGGAGTTTAACATGGAACAATCTTTGAAATGTGTAGGTGATGAATTATTAAATTTTGTGGCATTATAGGAAAAGCTGCGCTTGAAAATTGCGAAGGAGTGTTGTGGGACAACTAGGACACGTCTATTTCTTGAAGGGATGTTATTAATATTTTTTCTACAAACGTCAAAAAATGACAAGGTTCGCGCATTGATAACAAATTGCGAAGTGACACTTTTTTTCAGTTTCCCACGTTACCATGATACCTTGCACAAAACAATGCGCGAAGTAAAACAGTGCGCGAAGTATCTACTTCGCGCATTGTTATGTGAAATATATGAGATATTTATATTTCTACTTCATGGTCCTCAATCGAGCAAACATCCTCGAAATTATTTGTTTCTGAATGGTAAACTATAACTTTGTTTAATCTCTTGGAGCGCACGAAAGAAAATTCCAATTATGTTCGTGGAACATCGTGTGTACCTAGGGAGGATAGGGGGGGGGCCTTTTTAGCCAGTTCAACACTATTTTTTATATCAGGCTAAGCATATTTTTACTTCAGAACTATATTTTTTGACGTTTGTAGAAAAAATTTTGTTTGCAACTCGAGCGCGAAATACTTTGGTCATCTCGACTATTTTTTTAACTCGGCTACGCCTAGTTAAAAAAATCAGGTCTCGATCACCAAAGTAGCATTTCGCGCTCTAGATACAAAAATAACTATTTAAATTGAGTAAATTTTTTTCCTCAGATATGACGGACGATTAGTTTTCAGAATTTTGTGTACGAAAGTTAGGAGATGAAGGGTTCGTAGAGATGCCAAGCTCAATTTATTGGTAGTTCTAAATGCAGGAGAGATGTGGTCGAACTTCCGTATACCAAGCGCAAATCTTAAACACGAGTTCAGTTGTTGGAAATACTTCCACATTCAATGGAAGTCCAGTGATTTGCCGACCTATAGACAAACGAATTTTGATAAATTGCTGTTCAAACATATTTCGAGATCGACAATGGAAGGATGTGCTGACTGGACTCATCCAGTTCGCGTGACTGGTATTGCTAGTGATGGAATGATATCAGAGATTTCCGGTGAACATTTCCCATGAAAGTATCTATACAGGGTGTATTTTGATTGTTTGCTGGAAATGGAGGATATGGTTCCTCAGCTCATTTTAAGAAGGAAAGTTTATATGAACATGTGCCCTAAACCTCTCAACCTTCGAGCTGTAGGGTGTTCAAATTGTAAGAAAAAATTCGTTTTCATAATATACTTAACTTCAATACTGTTCTAGATATTTTCATGGAATTTGATGACATGCACCTACTAAGCACTAATAGGCATTTTTGGATGCAGGAGTTTTTTTTCAATTTCTCTGTGGTTTCATATGTTCAAACAAGGTGCTGAATCTGAATCTGAAGTTTGCAAACAAAATTCCCTGGAGCGTTCCAAAATATTCGCGAAAAACAGCGAAACTTTTGCACTTTCTCCAGTTTTTTCCGTAAATCCGAAACTATACATTTTCCCGAAAAGACCATCCTATATAGAGTTGTAGTAGATGAAAATGTCTATATATAATTGTTTCTAGTCATGAATGCAGTACTAACGGGTAAAAAATAGTCGGTTCTCGTAGATAATTCACTTATAATTCGTTCTTCTTCGATCTTTGAAGTTCTTGTTATACAATATATTTATTTCCACAGTTTCATCTCCTTGATCATGACCAGCAAGTCAAACGTGAGATTCCATGTCTTCTGGTATGGGTACGTTCTACAAATGGAATAATACATCAAACAAGTATAATTATTGATTATTCAAGAGAACATAATTGAGGCAGGGAACACCATCGAACAGGCAATTGAATCCATATAGCAGTTTCACAAACCAATGGCGTCCGGTGGTAATGATCACATCACACTGAGAGAAAACTTGAGCTATCATAATTGGAAATCTGATAACCGTTATTACGATATCTGCAATAAATAGGGGACATATGTATGTGTTCATTTGCTACCATAGATGAAGTGAATTTTCAGGTGACTTGTAGTTATGGCAGCTTATTCAATTTGCAAACTTGTATAAAAACACCGCTGCTGAATAACTACTACTTGTTCTAGTTTCTATGATAACACAGAATGTCGAATAGGAATTATTCCCATAAAATGTTGCAGTAACTCTCCACTCTACAGTGGTTATTAGACTATCGACATAAAACAGCATGTTTTTATTACTGGCATAACCATCTTGAGGTAACGCAGTAATACGTCTCATTTTATTATAGTTATCTGATATCTGCATGAAACCTGACATTTTGACATGCTATTGTAATATAGCATTTTCAACAGTTATCCCAATATTTTTCTACTCTAGTATATTCATCAAACGGTGGTAATAAGGTTATCTAATCAACATTATTCGATGGTATGCATTATGAAACCGTGCTTTGAATTACTGCAATGAAAATAAATATCCTATCCACACTATCACTTTTCATGATCCAAAGTTATTGTTTTCAAAAAAACAAAAAAATACGTTTAGTCTCTGAATTGAAATATATATGGGTATCTGTGGAAGTTTTTTGACATTACTCATCGATTTTTTCGGAGAAATATTATCTATATATGCATTAATGACGAATTTATTAAGAAATGACGAGTTGAATACTTATATTTACCCTTCCCTCGGAGTTATGATTAGAATTGTCAATAAAACTTCCCTCACAGAAACCCAGATATTTTGATTCAGAATCCCATCGATCATTTTGTTTGAAAAGTGGGTATGGAGAATACTTTTTTCATTGCAATAATGCAATGCACGGTGTATTCCACAGATCGGTTATTCACAGCCAGCACTAAAACAAAACTTTGCTACATCACAGACATTCACCTACAAGACACGGCTTTATCGATTCGGACGTTCGAAACCATTGAACAATAATTGAACACGGGCACCCATGACCGAGAACAGCATCTGTATCTTTGTCAGTCCCAATACTAATGAAACACTAGAGCGAAATGAGCCGAATTACGATTGTCGAATGATTGCCTAATAACTGTCATACATGTGAATTGCTAGAGTTATTCGTCAACGTACAATGCTAGAAACCCGAACAGCTATGATTATTGGGACAAACATTATCTGAATTCACCAATGAGCATAATTCACAAAACAAGCTATGTCAATAAAAAATCTAAATAGACTGGAATTTATAAAATTCTCATAATGTCATAATACACCTGCGTTATGATGGTAGCAAATGTCCATTCAAGGGTATTACAAATGATTTAAGAAATCGATTTTTATAATTACAGAATGGAGAGAATACTGTTGTAATAATAAAATGATCAGGAATAGGAAATTTCCTTATAATGGTTATTACAATCAGAGCTGGTAGATATTTTTAATATCCAGTTTCTCTCAGTGCACATTTTCCGCTCCTTTCACACTTTCTTTCATATCATAGTGTCTCCCAGATATGCTTCCTTTACTTGATTGCATTGATTGATAACCCATATCAAAGAGAGGCACCCAATCTAGTTAATTCTTATTTCAAGCTGGTTTTTTTAAAATATCATGAATATTCAGGGTTAGCTCCTATTCAGTTGACAGTCTGAATAGGGAAGACCACTGAGGGAAGAAATTCGTGCAAACCTCTTTCAATCGACGAATCATGATTTAAATTTTATGTACAATCAATATTATGAGTTGAAGTTGAAGGGAATCGAATCTATATCGTTTTGAAATCAGCATATTTCATTCGATATTTCAAACAGCCAAATATGATGGTGGAGTCGTGACGTATTAGTCCTGAACTGTAGCTATCTCTTTCTGATACCTCGTCATTCTGCAGTGTTGCAGTGTAATTGGTCAGTTCAAGGACAATAGGCGTGTTGGGACTAAGACGTCGCACCAGTCACACCAATGAATTGATGAAATTTCAAATGGCGCAGGAATTGTGTGTTTTGAAATGGACATATATTAATTTATTTATTTCATCGTCTTAGCATGAATGAAAAAATTCAAAATTAATTCACTGGTAGTTTTTCAGTAACGAGTTCATGATAATGTCGTTTTAAAAAATCAGTGGTCTTCCCCATTATAGATTATCTGAAATGAAGAAATTTCAACATCTTCGTCTATTTTTCAGCGTATAATGTCTGACAAATCTGCTCTTCTTAAATGAAAATCGATCCAGGCAATTCTTCATCCCTTGGCCAATCTGTTTTCTTTCTTGTGATTGTCAAGCACTGATGGTATCCTATAAAAGCCCACATTGTCTTTGAGTCCATTAATACCACAATTCACAGTATTTGGACTTGAACCAGAAATAAAAGTCGAAAGAAAAACCAAAGCACGTACTACGGCCATAGATTGTTAACATTACAAGCAAA